AATTAATGGATGGATTAACGAGGAAAGATATATTAAAAAAATTATATTACTTATTTGTTATTCATATATATAGAATTATACATTTATGTATTTCTCTCTTAAAAATATTACAAGGTATACAAGGATGATTGTTATGAACAAGAAAAACGTATTAGCTTTCATGATTTTTTTATTAAAGAATGCTGTATTTTCATCCTCACATAATAGCGAAAATAAATGTCTCATGAAGAAAAAGATATTACTTTTTACAGCACCATCTTTATTACATCTGTCTTTCATCAAGAATGTCTCCATAGTAGTAATAATCAAAATTTTTACTGAAAATAATAATTGAAATATAAAAAAAACTCATTTCTTTTTAAACGTTTAAATATAGTTTACAAATAAATGATATGAACAGTATAATACATTGCAGAACACGTATCATATTATAAAATTATTCGGAATAGATTCTGGTCGGAATCGTTCAATTATTTCCTAGATTTCTATCGTAATCTCTTCTTTGAAAATAAAATATTTTTGATCAGAATCCATTTCGAATATGCCTTAATATAAAATTTATATTATTTTAATTTTTTATTATTTTATTTCTCTATATTATTTTAGTAAAAACTAAATATTAAGTTATTAACATATTAATATGAAATTTTTAGAAAAGTAACCATATTTAGCTAATATTTCTCAAATTATAATTCTTTTTTACTTAATCTATTTTAAATTAATAGTAATTTAATAGTTAAGTAAACAAATCATTACCAATCAATTTGATAGATTTCAGCTGTGTATAGACTCGTTATCGTCCACATCATCGTCATCAAATTTAACGCTTTTGTTATCTTCTTCTTCGTGTTCATCTTGTACATCTTGATCAGACATCTCTTCCCAATTGTCATCGGATTCGCTGCTTAGATCAACATCGTCTTTATCAGCACCTTCATCCGATGAATCTGCATATATTTTTGAAGATGTGATTTAATATATTCGATAAAATTTTAGAAGTCGATATGCCATATTAACCTGGATCTTGATAAACAAGCAAGCTTTCCTCAGTTATATCCTTGTTGTGTTCCTCGTTAGCTTGAGATATTTGTCCTGTTATAAGAGAAACTCTGCCTTTTAATCTTTGTACAGCTGTTAGAAGTGCTAACTTTGCGTCAATAAAACTAAGAATAGGGCTAAGTATCTCTGCGATATCTGGTCGCGACATTAAATGCGCTGCATGAGTCATTATTAAAGTTTGCAACCACATTACTGCAATTTTGTTCCTAAATAAAATAATCTCAAGAAAATAATTCACGCAATTTTTTTTAAAAAAGAATAAATGAAATTGAAAAAAAATCTATAAATGAAAAAATATAATTACACATATGTTTTGCCTTGCAACATAACAGTTAATTCTTTAAGCAATGGTATAATTGCTTGCACTGGTAATCTTGCAATGGTATTACGAATTACTGCTTCATTTTTTGTAAATAACACTGTCGTTAAAATGGTTTTATCTTTGCTATTTAATGCTTGCATCAATAATTGCGTCATATTGGCTCCTTTCGTTGGTGTCCTCCCTGGTGTGTTCGCATCTGCATTTAAACTAAGATTTTCCAATCTATCCTTTAAAAGTAATTGAGAGCCTGAGGTAGTTCTATTTCTTTTTTGTGTTGAAACTTGTATTCCTGCAATATATATTTTTTTTTTACCGTTTTTCATCGATTTCGTTGAATCAAACTATTTGTTATCATGAAGATACATAATTACGAAAAATGTTACCTGGTGCGAGATATTCAACATCTTCTTCGATCGCAGTAGGTTTTACTTTAGAAATTGTCTCTTCTTTCCTTTCTTTTGATTTTTTTGTATCTAATCTTTCCGATCTAATTAAACATTGCACTTTGTCGGAAAAGTCGGGCATTACTTTCTCGAATGTTAAATTAAAATAACTACCATACGCTAGTAATAGCTTTTCATCTTCAGTTAAGTGACCTGCTAAAATTGGAATCTGTTGAATAGTTTCCTTCTGATTGATATCTGCCGCTACTGCAATGTTAAGAGATGGTTTCACTGGTTTGGTATGACCATTCGGCTGATACTTGAATAATTGTGCTTGACCCGATTGAGTAGTAACCAATATGCCGACTTGCAATTCTTCTGCAACAAGTATCGAGATGGATGTAGCCTCATCTTGAATGGCTAGTGTTGCTATCGATGCTTTATCATTTTTATTCTAAACAGAGAAATTTAATTGTAAATTAATTTTGAATGTACATGTAACAACTAAATAAAAGCTAATATGTGTGCACAATAAAATTGTATCATATAAGTTATATACAAAATGAATTATCATATAAGATGTTACAAGTACATAAGTATTAAGAAATCAACTTTTTTTATCTTTAGACTAAATAAATTTCTAGCTGTTGATTAATTAATAATGTATGTCTATAAGAATCTTTATCTCAGAAGTAAATTAAAAACATTTTTAACATTTTATCCTAGTTATAGTTAGATTATGTGAAATATTAAGAAATGAAAAGAAATGCAATATACTTTGTCTAATATCCATAGAGAAAGATGATTGTCTGCACGGGCAGCACTTATTAGGTAACTAGTTGCACTGTCTATTTGTATAGTATGAAGAAAAGTGACATGATTGGCATGTCCAGTAAACGTGCGGATCAATTGCTTTGTCGCTAAATTCCACCACTTGATTATTTTTTCAGCAGATAACAAGGTCTTTCCATTTGATGGAATTGCCAAGGCTGTGACTTTTGCCTTGCCAGATTTCCATTTACATTTGATTCCATTCTCTTGAAGATTCCATTCCACTATATGATAATCATTAGCTGCTGTAATCAATCCAGCGTATGCTGACCAAGCGATTGCTGTGACAGTGGAAGAATGACCATTATCTAAAGTAGTGCTGACACATGCGGCAGCTACATCGTACAAAGTAATTGTTCCGCTCATCGAACCCATTGCCACAACAGCTTTGCGATCGACTTGTTCCGAAATTGACTTCCTCCTACGTCTTTTTCTTGGCGAAGGCTTAAAAGACACAGAAAACATTTTATCTTACTAGAGGAATAAGTTTCTAACATTGTGATTTTTATAAATGTGCGTTAATAGATGATCTCATTAATAATGCCCTTTTGCTGGAAATATTTGTCATGAAACATAAAATTCGCCTCTATATAACATGAAATATACAATGTGCGTTTAATGTAGTCTTTCGGAAACTTACGTATTGATAAAGTTTGAAATAGTATATTATACGTGGGCAGGTAAATATTGGTGCGGATGAGGATTAAAAACAATAAAAACTGTCGACATAAAATTGTACATAATAATAATACAAATAAAACGAAAAAAGGAAAAAGGAGAGAAAATGGGAATATCTGTGGTGGTTGAAGAGCGCATGACGCATATATTTACCGATACGTTGCCCGCCGATTGCGGGCTCACAAAGATCCATCCTATAACACTGCAGGGTGACGATAAGTGCCGATTAGGAGTGTACTCATGCTTCAACCGGCCGCTTGCAGTCTCCCAAATTTTCAACTTGCCGTCATTGCCGCAAAACGCGTAATATTGTCCATCCTGAGAGAAAGCGGAACATCCCGTGCTCGCCATCACGTTTGCTTTGACTCACCTTGAAATTGCTGCGAATATACCTCGAAACCTGTTGTTCTACGCTGTAAAAAAAAACCGCGTTCTCTCTCCTAACGTTTCCTAACCTCATTGATCTCCATATAACACATGCGGCGCGCGCGCGCGATCTTTACGGTTTTACAGCACAAAATCCGCAACGTATTATAGTAACACAAGTCTCCGTTAGGAATCAATCAAGAACCGAAACCTAGTATCAGAGAAAAGCCTAAGAGCGGCCATGCCCGGGATTTAATTACTTTATTTTGAAGCGCCTCTATGTCCACAAAATGTGAACCTTGAACTATGTAGCCAATGTTTATGATCCAGTCGAGAGCCCGGAGATAATTGAAGAATGCTGACATTATTGACAATTGATACAAATTTATTATTATTAACATATAAATATTTGACTCATACATTATTAAATTCATAATTTTTTATTACATAAATGTTCCATAAATAAATATGCATACTTGTAAAGCTATAATATTTTATATATTACAGAGAAATTACAATTTTTTTCTCTGCGATTATCATCTCTGTTGATAATCAAACTTTGACAATAATACTGAAATCACAATTTTAAAGAAAAATCGAGTATTATTGATATAAATGCATAATTACGTCTATTAAATTAATAAATTATAAAATTAATACAATATCAGTCTTTAATTCTTAATCACTTTAATATTCACAAGGATGCGAACTTCCAAGACTCCAAAGGATGTCGGTCTTTAATAGTATCTCGTCGGTGGCAAGAGTTTGTACTCTCAACTTAACTGTAGAGAAAAAAAATTGTAATTTTGTAGCAATATATATTTATTTATGCAGCGTTTATATAATAAAAAATATGAATTTAATAATACATTATCCAAAATATTTGTAATTATTAATTAAATCATAAATTTATATCAGTTGTCGATAATGTCAGTGTTCTTCTATTAGCTCTGGATCTTTTTTGCAAAGGCAAGGACAAAAATTTGCCCAGGGTTGACAGTCTTTAATAATATCTCGTCGATGATAGTAATAATGAATTGGCGTAGACAAGTTGGAAAATAATCGAGTTATTCCAATATACTAAATTGTATATATATTTTTATTGTCTCTTTTTCTAAATATAAAAATATTTCTCTAAATAAATATTAATATATATATATATATTTTTTTTTTTACCTTTTTATATGCATATGCATAAACGCGATATAGTGAGATGAGAAATTCAAAAATTCGAAAGTCATTCCGAAGAACGTGCGTCACCGATGTCACGATGCGTGACGCTCTCTGTGATAATTTTGATTGGTTAACGGAACACGGTTCAACATGGAGTACGTGGGTACGTGCTAAATCCTATTTATTTTTCGTGCTTTCTGTGAAAATTTTCGGTGTTCGCTTACTCTTTGTTCCCATTTTACCATCTTTTCTTCGATCGCGCGACAAGTCCGACCGGCTGATAGGTGAATCGCGATATTTCGTCGAAATACCTATCAATGTGTGGTCTGTGTTTGTGTATGTCAGATAATTTTATACGTTGATGCTCGTTCTAATATCATAAGCTTCTAAACTTGGAAGCGTGTATTTGTGGATTATCTCCAATTCCGATGCAACGACGTATGTTTGCGCCATTTGGCTGCTGAAATATTTATTTCTTAAAGGATCGTAGCCTTTTTTTAAGGCGATTAATCTTTCACCGGTTAACCGTCCATTCGTAACCTTCATTTGATATTACTCAACAAATATAACAATAATTAAAACAATTTGTTTCCGAAATAATTATTGTGCACAATCTGCGCAATCTCGACAACGTTTTCACGAGAAAAGAATTTTAGACTTTGGCCAGAGAGATGTATTATCATATTGAGATGTATTTTTGTCTTCCTAGATACTGTAAAGAGCGACAACAATGACAGCTGTTGCAACTCGTCTCCTTGTCCGGAACTCGCGTCGAATCCAAAGTCCATTGAAAATTCGGCGATAGAGACTAAAGAAACAGCAATGGAGTGCGAAAACAATGTCAACAGCTCGCAGGATACTACCTTGCAAGAATCATCTACTGAGAATGTAGACTTTACAGTGATTTACAACAAACAGAAGATTAGTGTAAATTTTGCTTTGGATTGCACAGTTGCCGAGTTAAAGACATATTTGCAAAAAATTATCTCAGTACCACAAGCGATGCAGAAAGTTATGTTTAAAGGATTAGCCAAAGATGATCAGACTCTTAGAAACTTGGGAGTCACGAAAGGTAATAACCATACATCTTGTCATTGCATAAGCATATGTTATTTACTCTTTGTTATTAATCAAATTACCTACTTGCTTTATGACAATTAAGGTGCCAAAGTCATGATAGTTGGATCAAAGTTAGATGACGTATTGGCTGTGTCAATTCCGACGAAACAAGACCTCATCGACGAGGCTGTTTCTTCGGTGAGCAAAGAACCTCTTTCGCAACAAAAAATCCATAGGAAAGTTTTAGATAAAGGTATTCCAGAAGATGTGATGCCAGGGATATTAGATAGCAAGGTTGTATAATCTGTATAAAGTTTTACACACATATATACACACACAGTAATGAAACCGATTTTACTGCAACTGATTTCGTTGATTAATTATTTAGGAACCTTTGCCTGAATTTCCATTAGCTGGAATGTTAAATAAGTCTGGAGGGAAAGTCAGGCTAACATTTAAATTGGAGCAAGATCAGCTTTGGATCGGCACGAAAGAAAGAACAGACAAAATACCTATGAATTCAATAAAAGGCGTCCACAGTGAACCTATTCATGATCATCCTGAATATCATATTATGGCATGTATATCACTCAGAGAGCATATAATAAATTCTGTAACAATCATTGGGTATTTTAATAATAATTTTCATAATTTACAGGCAATACAATTAGGTACTACGGAAGCATCAAGGTATTGGATATATTGGGTCCCTGCCCAGTACATATCCGCTATTAAGGACGCTATTCTTGGCAAATGGTGTTACTTCTGATTGATAATTGCCGGAAATTTCGATTTCTGTAAAGCTTAATTAATCGGGTGTAAACATTGATACAAACTGCTGTTACATTGACATAAAAACTGTCAGCTAGTCACACACATTTTTAACAGTAAGTAATAATTTATTTTGAGTTACGTTATCATTGCGGAGAATACCCAATAAACGTAGTCTGTCCCATTACAAAAATTATTTAGGTGACTAGTCTTGATTTATTGGGAAAAAAAAGAATTTAATGACTATGCCAAATGTTTTATATTTTCATAGTCCAGATTTAAGTGTATACCTTGAATTTTTTACACAGCTGAAAGTTAAATAGACAGTTTTACAATGAGAACTGTGATTAGTGAAACTTCCATAATTAATAATGTGTTGTGATAATATTACAAATATTTTTGACTATATGATTTTTTTAAATTTCATTTTTTTAATTTTTTAAAAATGTGTCTACAAATTTATTAAAATTTGCAAGTTTTATTCAAAATCTAAAAAATATTTAATTTGTTGATAAATCATTTTTACAATAAAAATATTTTAATTTGGATACTATATATAAGATTTTAATTACACGATTTATATTATTTATTACTACTTTATAACCTTATATCAACGAAGCAACTTTATGAAATTTAGTTATATGTCAATTAACCCTTTCGCTGTAAAGAGCATACATTTATGCCTTTAACAAGTAAGTGACTATTTAATGTACATATATAAGAACGTCTATATTTCTATTCCCTCCAATTTTCAACATTTATAATAAAAAATTTATATATCACAAAAGGTATTTATAGATAATTATAGGCAAATTAAAAAAAATCATTTCGAATAATGAAATAAAATGTTTATAGTTCCCTCTTTATCACTTGTAAAAATTCTTATTAACGTTGTTTACACCTGAAATATGTACCTTCTGCATACGAGCGTTTTTTGTTATGAGGATGCCGTAGCGAAAGGGTTTAAGTCATAACATTGCATTTATAAGCAAATTTTTGAAAAGATCATTATCCATACAACTTATGATTTGTTATTACTCAATCATACATTTTTATATAACATTCAGTTTATCAAATGATTTAATGTGATCACGTGTGTATACATGTGTATACATATTTGTACATTATTCAAAAACTGTTTGAAATCTATTCTTGGTACATGTTAAGTTTTAACAAAGTTTTATTTTTTGTTGTAGCTGCAACAAAAAGAAATACATAACATGCGCATTCGCCCGCAAAAAAAAAACACACACACGTACACATCTTTTATGAAATAGATTACAACACATTATATCGCTTGGAACAGATATAATCCTTGTAAATAAAAAACCAGAATAAATTTCTGCATCATTACATTAACTTGACAGCAGAATAACAACGAAAATTTCGTGTTGAAATGAAATAAAGAAATCCGTTCAACATTTTGTGATTGGCCTAATAATAAAATAACATGTAAAAAAGATCAAAATATTATATCACGATCTATAAGAATTATGCATAAAGAATTTATATATAATCTTTAACGTTGTAATTGCTGTAAATTAAGTTTTATACATTTGAATCATGTAATCAAGAATAAGATAAATCAAAATTTGTAGTAATATCTATGATACTGTCAGAAATCTACTTGAGAAATCGGTTTGAATGAGACTTGTACATTAGTTGTGTGATTTGATGAAATAAATACTTCTGAGACTTTGTTTTTTAATGCTTAATTTTTTTTAATCGTAGTTCTATTTGCGTGCGTGATTAGGTAGGAAATATATTGTGTAAACAGATATCAAATCTATATAAAATATATATTCTGTCGTCATTAAAATTTTTCTATCTAAACGTACACGTACGTCATAATAGAAATTGTTCTTTTAACGGAGGCAGAAGACACATCTGCTGAACATATGATGCAGGATGCAGGAAACATCTTGTTAAAGTACTTAGTCGTAACTAAAACAGACTTCCATTCGTAAGGCAGATGTGAATGCCATTGGAAGAAGAATCCCCACCAAGTAGGACGAGAGATGAAAGTTTCCGCGTCGTATAATCGATAACAGCTCTGCAGCTCTCACAGTACGCGTATGTAACTCAAGGACGAGAAAGATGTTGCGTGCATGTAAATATGGACTGTATTATTTATTGTTTGTATTATTTGTATTTTAAACCGGTGATTTGCACAAAGATCACTGTACCGGACCATCGTGAGAAATGACAGCAAAATATTTTTTTTGTGTGGAATCTTGAACTTATAATTTAGATCTTCTGTAATCTTTTCTGGCAATGTAAACAACAAATCCACATCAAGGTTTAAATAAAGCAAATGATTCATATACTGTACAAATATGCGGCGATGATAATAAATGTAAGTAAATCAGCGCGCACTACATTATAAGAGAGTATTAAAACGGAATACAAGTGGCAGCGCTATATTACAGTAATTATCATCATAATAATTGATATTTATATATTGTCGAGACCAATTGAAACGCACGTTATTACACCGCATGGTACAAGAGTGAAATATTGAAAATATGAATTATATTCCGTATTCTATATGTATCAAAGTGAAAAATAAATTTAACTAATATTTATATTAATAAAGTACAAATTCGAATAACTCTATTTAACTTTTTGTAAAGTTAAATAGAGTAAAGAACGAAATGAAAAGCGGAAATAAACGGATGAAAAATTAATCAAGATCAAAGATTTATCTGCATAACTTTAGAATGGTTAAATCGCCAGAAGATATTGAAGAAAAAGCATTTATAGAAAAAGCATTTTTTAAATTAACTAAAAATTATATCCAACAAGGGGCTGTGATAAATGATTTAAAATCTATTACTATGATTGCTAATCCAAAAAGTGCCAAGAATCATAGCTTCAGAACGCGTTCGAAGAAATTGCTGGTGATGTTATTAATGCCATTTCTTTACGGCATGTTTAATAGATATGTTTACAATAATATAATTAAGAATTTTCAAGGAACTCGATGCTTACTACCGAACAATTACCTTATATGGGAGTTTACAAGACCGATAACTAATTGCGATTACTGTCGCGACGTCAAAGCGCCGCTAATCTTGCCGAATTTGACCAAAGAGGAATTTCGCTTTTATTCCTATTCATCTCGACCTATGATAATAAGGAATGCAGCCTATGATTGGCCTGCGCATAAAGAATTTACTTTGAACTTTTTTCGGAACTTGTATGAGCGTATCGAGGGTGCTTACGAGTCGATAGAGGAGGAATGTCAGTTTTTACATTTTAAAAGTAATTTCGCAAACCTGCGCGAGGTATTTGCGATGAGTGAAGGTCGAGCGTCACATCGCGAGGGTGAAGATCCTTGGTATGTCGGCTGGAAAAATTGCCATCCACAAATTCTAGATACTATGAAGCAATTTTACAATATACCTCATTTTTTGCCGGATGACGCGGAAATTCCTTATAGCAATTACATTTTCATGGGCTATGAGGAAGGTGCCGTTATGCATGTAAGTTTTGTAGTCGAACCATTCATTTATATATACGGTATTGTAAAAATGTGTCATAATACTTACAAATCTTTTTTATTCTATTTTATAGTTGGATTACATATCGAGACTCATGTGGCAAGCTCAAGTAATAGGTAGCAAAACGTGGACCGTGGCTCCAACACCGGAATGCGATAGCGAATGTAAATCTTTTAAATTTTCCGTCAATGTAACGGATGTCGTACTGTTGGATACGCGGATTTGGTATCACAGTACTCACATCGAAAATGGAAATCTTAGTTTGACAGTCACCTCAGAGTACGGATAGACTTTTAAAACTTTTTACGCATTCCAGAGCGTAATCTATAACGTACAAAAATTGTTTGGATAGGATTCTAGGCAGTTGTTTTTTTATCTTTTTGCAAATCTCGATTGGATACAATATATGCCTTTTAACGTCTGTTATGTCGTTATTCGATGTTTTTCGATCTTTTGTTACTGCAATGAATAAAATTATATTGTTAAACGGCAAGATTTGAACGCATTTTCAATGAATAACTATTGAGTTCACATAAGAGAATATCGTCTTCTAATATAAACTATCTATTATCTCCTTTTCTTCTATTAGAAGAATACATAATTTCATAAAAAATATATTCAAAATGTGTATTCGAAGATTAATACTGATCTGTTTTGATGCTTGACTATGTTCATAATGTCACAATTAATATATTTTTTTATAACTTTCAATAAAGATTTAAAATATTCATTTATAATAAATTCATGGTTATACAAATCATTTACGTATTTACATATGTGTAAACATTTATTTCATAATTATATAGACTCGTGTGAAACACAACAATACAATTGTTTTCAAGAGATAACATGTACAAGAAATTATTGTTAATACTCGCGTTAATACATAGCAGTATTATTGCAGGAGTACCTGCAGTAATACCTGTGCTTTAATATTGCATAGCTATAATGAGAAAAACTTGGTGCACCTTCAACCATCAATTTGAATCTATGTATCCAGATTCAAGAGTTGTAACAAACGTTGACAGTTTGTTACGTTAAATGCGCGACAGCATACAAATTTGCAGTATTCACCTAAAGTGGAATGTACATCGATTACACTATATAGTTCGCTTGTGTAATGCGATATATTTTCACTGATATTTCTTCGTGTAGGCTGGTGGACTTTCCTGAAATATATCGACAAACATTATTATGTATTTATACATATAATTCTATATACATAATAACCCATATTCAAAACGCATTTTTATCGATAAATACGCGTTAACATTATAAAGGCATTATGAACAAGGATCAATTCATATGTTAAAATTACAATTTCAAATATATCTTTTTATATAACATGTACGAGAAATTTGCCCAATCTATATAGAAAAAAATAAAAATATTCTATTCCTATCTATATAATGCTAAGTACTTTAATATCATATGTGCTATAGATAAGACAATCTGTATTGTTGGCGATAAAAATACAGTACAAATGGAGTTGATAAAAAATGAAATGAGATAAAATATCCCGTTTTATATCAAGTATATTAAAGAAATAGAAATATTAAAAAATTAAAAAAAATATTTTTAGAAAAAAAAACAATTTTATGAATAAAATATAAATAAAAAATAAAATATACATTTTGTTTTTTTTTTAATACTGCAGATTCATAAACTTTTGGATATCACCATAAATATTTTACATATAATTAAAATATAACTTACGTAATATTCTGGTGGTGGAACATAAGCGCATTGAGGTCTATTAGGATCATAATATGCGCTCTGCGCAGCTTCAGCAGCCTTTGCATCTGATAAAAAAATGGGAATGTGGAATAATGTATTTCAACACAAGTTAAAAATACGATGTCACATTATTACCGTACCAAAAATTTTAATGATAGTTTTTACTAAATTGAAAAGCACGGTTTTCTTAACAAAATGTCATATTTTTTTAACTATAACGAAAATAGTTAGAGTTTTACAAATTAATTATGGAGATGCATATAGCAACAATAATACACGTATTTATTTAAAAAAATTTAGTTATATATATAAAAGAGATTTAATGCAAAAATTAAAGAATGGCAATAAACTATTATTTTTCATTTACATTAAACGCCAGATTAAAAATCATCAGCGAATAAGTATATCATTAAAACTTAATGTAATGACGATAAATTATACATAATTACGTATTTTTAGCGTTCCTATTATAGTAGTATTTTTATCAATATTAATAAAGTACATACAAACATAATTCCTGTTTGATGTTTTGAATTTATTTTGTTCTGGCATTACTTTATTTATCAAGTTTTAACCGTTTCCTAATTGTAAAATGCGTGATAAACAATGAAATATTTATCTATGCACTCATATATATGTGAAAAATTATATCTGAAATATACAACATAAATGGATAATATAATACGGATTCAAAATTGACTTGAAGCACACAGTCTGTTACATCTGTCTACCTAAGCCGTTTACTGATCTACTGACAACTACAAGATAATAATTGAGTGAAGTGAAAGCCAATCTTATTTCAGATCATGTAAGGACATGTTACACAACCGTATTGCTTAATATTTCAAACTTTCAAATTTAGTGGATATGCACATTAATCCTTTAGCTATCTTTCTATTTGGAAACGAAATCTTGAATTGATAGGTTTGAATAAAAACAGTAAAAATTGTCTTTAATCAATATTTAATATTATATATGTATATATATATACATATATATATATATATATTAATATAGTATATACATATGTACATATATGTATTATATATATATAATTTACAACACATATACAGATATATATACATATATATGTATTTATTATAACTCATTAGTATTGATGTGGGTATGGATTATAAGATCCCGGCTGCTGATTGTAAGGTCCAGGCTGCGTATAAACGTTTTGCGGGTATGCCGAATACGGTGGTGGATTGGGCGAATAACCGCTATAAGGTGGTTGTCCATAACCACCGGGATACGCACCTGCATGGGACATCGGCTGACTATTGTAATTCGGATTGGCCCATCCGGGAGGAGCTCCTGGTTGTCCTACTGCAGCTCCGGCGCCTTGATGTTGTGGGCCGCTCGCGTATCCATATCCTGGCTGTATTCCGGGATACGGTGGCGGACTGTCTGTCATAAAGACTGTATTTCCTAGAAAAGAAGCAATATGAATTTTATATACAATGAGCTTTTAAAAATGTTCAATACAAGTGTATTCTAAAATGAATCTCATTATATGGTTAATGTTTCAGAACTGTATACAACATTTGACTACTAATGTGAATTTTGACAACTTTTAAATTTCAATATATTATAATTTGACAAAGTATACGCTTGTAATATTGTTTTCATTAAAACCAAACATTTTTTTCTTGTGCATATGCATCAAGTGTGTTAAATAGAAATACGTATGTTGTTTATTTTACTTTGGCGAGCTAAATCTTGCTATAAGAATAGCACAATAAAAGATTGCATATAGATTGATTTATAGAAATATTCAGGATCATAATCTTTCTTACGCAAGTAAATCAATAACTTTGGAGATATCGATTAGGAAATTAAAAAGCCAATATTAACCTGGCGGAACATCTGGGAATACATTAGTTGGAGGCATCCACCCATAGTATCCAGTTGGAGGAGGTTGATAAGCTGAAGGTTGTGCCGGATACCAATCGGATAATGGAGGCGTATATGGTGGTGGTGCATCATTTGCTGGACCGTTGCGTTGAGCTAAAAATCATGTAGAATATAATGAAGACATTTCATATCTTGCTAAAATCAAGCTGAATCGATAAATTTGTCTTTATTGTATACTTGATAATACTATTAATCTTCATATCATGTTTTTGATATATAAAACATAAATATACATATATTTTGATATGAAAAAATACATATAGCTTACATATATTGAAATATTTCCAACTATGTAAAACACACTTTGCATCAATTATTTATCTTACCCATTGCAGCAGCTCTCAGCAAAGCTTGAGCAAATTCCACTGCACCACCGCTCTTGAATCTCAATTTAAATTTGCATTCTCCAATCCAATTACCATTTGGCTGAGCACGGCATTTGCCTCCTATATAATTAGCACCAAAAACTGGTTGTTCCAGTCCTACTTCGCTCAGTGTAATAAATGGAAAACTAAACGACTGCATTTTTTCTTTGTGATCTTTAGCATTAAAGATCATCCTATGTGTTGTCAAGTATAATCTGCCATGTTTTTTTCCAATAAATTCTGGTTGTTCTTGTCCATGAAATTCCATATTAACATTGTCGCTGAAGAGTATGATGCTAGAGATAATTAAATATTAAAATTTAGTTGTATTATTGCGATATTATTGCATATTGTGCAAGTTTATGTTAATTTAATTGGTACAGATATTGCAAATATGATTCACGTAGACGGAATGAGTAATTCATTCGAATAATTGAAATTAAACGACGATTGTGTAATTGCACATTTGTGATAAAGTAATAAAAATTTGGAACAATTAATTGTAGACGGAAAGCTATGATGATATTGCACGGCAGAAATCATATCAAGATTCAAAATAGATAATAATTTTGTGATTAACATAATTTTATGAATGCAATATATGAATGAAAATAGCAAATTATTTAAATAGGTTTTCATTGCTTACCACTCGCCAGAATGGAGAAGAACTCCGCCGTTGGTGTGTGCCGTATTCAATGACATATTCTCCTCGAATTAAACGTTTGTGATGAATGATAAAACTGCAACGAACGCTGACAAACGCCGTTGATGATCGAGACTCTCCTCTTGAAAAACTGCTGGAAACAGATTATTCAGAGTGACGTTACAACGCTATCACTTCTAGATGATGGATGGTGAATAAATGAGGTAGTGTGTAATAATGTGGCGCATTATGGCGACTTATTGATAATAGTCATGTTGTTTTTCGGATTGCTATTTCTGATTGGTGAGCTAATAGTTCACAATGTTCTCAGTCTTGTGGCTAATTTCTGATTGGTGATTGTCGCGCGTCCAGTTTTCATTTCGACGTTTTTGATTAGTGTCCCTCGAAGTAGAGAGAGCGAGACTAGCCATTCGGGGGTTTCACGTGATTGGTGTCACGTGATTTGTGCTCACCGGGTTGTGTTCCAAAACTCGACTTTGTTAACCTTGGGCGTGTTCAGATTCCCGGTATCATATCATCCTTATTTACTTTCGGTAAACAATAAGGATAATACTTGGCATTCTCAGGTGGGAATCTGAACATAGTCTCGAATAACATTGGTTCTTCCAACATATCGATTTCTTCCACCATACTCCAATATTCTTCAACAAGCTCTTAATAGTGATATCGATTCAAAAAAAAAATCGATTCTCAGAATCGATCCATTCTTTTAGGTTCGATTCTTAACAATCGATTAATTGAATGAAAGAGGATTTCAAATAATCGATTCTTTCTTTAGCAATTTGTGAATAAGATTAAAATGGATATAATAATTAATAAAATATGTAACAATATTATAGAGATACAATATATAACTAAATGAATTCACTGAAAATATAATTCAGGGAAAATATAATTATTGTTTATTATAATTTATGATTTAAAAACTCTTCATTTAATAACATTATGGCTGCTTTCTTTTTAAGAGACATATAGTTGATACAAATGTCATTCTTTGTTATTCATTGAAGCAAAAAAGTCTTAATGTTGAAATAACTCGGTGAAAAAATATTATACAGAGCTTAATAAAAAAGCAAATTAAAGGTAAAAAATTCACTCTTTCGAATGCTGTAAACCGCATTTGTGTACATACAATTTTTAATTCGCGCCGTAGAACTTTGTAAATTTCGTAAAAAATTTTGAGATTTGATGTATCTTCATTTATGTTTGTGTAATTCCATGAAATAGATTAGTAAAACCGTTTTCTAAAACACCGAATTTAAAAGTAGAGATTTCAAACTGTAAAATGCTTTTTTAAACATTTATACAGTTCTTCTACCTTGAAATTTGCCTATTTTTGCGTGGTAAAATAGGTGATCCTTTAATTTTCTTAAAATATATTAGGTATAAAATTTATATATTGATTACCAGACATTTGATCAAGAGTTTTATCTCATTGTATAAAAGAGCGCGTATAAAAATCAAGAAGAATCCATTGTATGGCGATGACATTGATTTTTCTTCATTCGAAATATCCTTATAAAATTTTTCAAACTGTTCATTGCATCGAGGAAGAAGAGAAAAGAAGAGAAGCAATCAAAGTGAAATTTCTGTATCTTTTGGCAATGGTTGGTTTGCCATGCACTGATGCATAATGAGATAATACTATGCCGGTGATTGGCGAACTTATAGTGGCGAACAACAACTATTTGATGCGATTATAGGAGCAAATTGAACATTACCAGACTGACTCGAGCAATGAGCAACAATGAATGTATACTGGCCGTACTGGAGCCATCAGCGGGCTCAACCTGACTATTCCAACATTTCCAGTTAGTCCAGTTTACTTCAGCATGGCTCGGCGTGGAAAGCCGGCGCGCGCAGAAATCAATGCCGTAAATGTCAAAGCATGCGCTCAAGGATAAGAAAAGAACTTGGCGTACGTAGTGCAAGGAAATAAATATCATAGTGATCAGGGTCTGGAATCAAATCATTTCGCCGGCAGGAAGCGAGCACTCGCCCGTTCACGTACTATGGATTAGAAGAACTTGTCTAAGCACCAAGTCGCCGTTCTCTCTCTTCGAACTCTTCGCCAATTCCTCTTCTCCAGCAATATGGACGAAAATTTGAGCCGGGGATATGTCCAGCTGGGCAAAGCCAGGGGCATGAATGAGTTCAAATTCTCAAATGGATTCACGCATCTCTCACCACCAGTTGACAAATGCAACTTCATTTACATGGCTCTGATCCTCGGCGGTATAGGTTTTCTTCTACCTTATAACAGGTCCTGCGTCAAACAACGTATTATGTTTTATAGTATTCCTTGCATGTGTATCTTTGATATATATCATATTATATATATGTGGATATATGTATATATAGTTGAACAAATAATCTTTAAAGCCGTTATTATTATAATTAATTGACTTTTTTTCCCACGACTTTGACTGCTCAAAGAGATTCAGCCTTGTAAATGACGAACAATTCTCTCCGGTATTTCAGAGAAAAATATATTTAATTGTTAATCTTAATCTTAATTTGTAATCTTTGACAAATAAATCGACTTTGTAAAAGTTGTAAAAATTTTACGCGTTGCATTTAACTTTGGTTAAAAATTTTGCGATTTATATATCAACAATTGTGCCATTGTTTGTTACAGCTTCATTATAGCAGTGGATTATTTTCAAGCTAGATATCCGGGAACTACTGTGATTTTCGACATGTCCGTTGTTTACATTATTATGGCTTTCTTCGCAGTTTTTGCCAACAATATTCTAGTTGAGACTTTATCGCTGAATACACGAATTACATTTGGTAAGATTGTCATTAAGTTAATCGAGTTTAAAAAAAAACAATTGAGGGTAATTTAACTTATTGTACTTAAAGGATTCAAACAAAAGATCGAAACGTATATGAATTTAGTTTTCTTGTTCTAATAAATGAAATTCGCACATCTATATCCAGTGCTTGGCTCAAATAGGCATTATACATTCCTTGATAATCATTAGAGCCTGAACTGAAGTTCCTTCTTAAACAATACAAAAAAATAATGTTACGATATATAATTATATAATTTAATCTTTAATGCTCAGGATATTTAGTGTCCTTCGTTACTCTGAACTTTGTGGTGATCTGTGAAATTTGGTGGGAACTTTTCGGCGTTGCAACTTCCTATACTATTAATTTAGTTGCCGTCGCTATAGTGTCGCTCGGTTGTACAGGTAGAGTTAAATAAGATTATCATAAATTCAATTAGTATATTAAATAATGGAAAAATGTTACAAGTATTCATTTATCTATTCTCCGATTAATTAATAAGTAACATAATTTATTTAATATGTTAAAAATTGTTTAACACATATTCCAAGAAATATTAATTATGATTCAACACAGATTATCTCTTGCTTTTTAATAACTTAAATAAAAATCTTTAAAATGTTTCTGAAATGTATGACATTTTTTTACGTCTGTGATAATATAATTATTATAAAATGTAGGCATCTACAATTGCGTTAGATCTTTTTATTATTGTGGCTTTCTACGGATTATAAATATTTGTATATTTACAACACCTAAATACGAGAAACGCCACTTTCGATCAAAGTTAAATGTTAAACATATAATAACTATAATAACTAATCATATATATCTATATATGTATTCCTTTAAATAAATTTATCTTAGAATTATGATTGTGCGCCGTTGCTTTTGCACTTTTAACAATTAATCTTGAAAGTCCCCTCAAATTAAAAACATCTTAAAACTTGTAAAAAATATTGCGAAAAATATTGCTAGCCAAATATTTTTAGTAATATTGCTAAGATCTTGATAGTCTAACGATAGGACGCTCGCATGGAATACTACAGATCCGGATTCAAACCATGACTGAGGTAATATTTTTCGTAATAAATTCTTTACAAGTTTTAAGATTCTAATTAAATTTGTGGGATTATTAAAAAAAGTAACGCTTTTCGTATTTAGGTAATGTACTCACATAAAACGGTCTTATTTCCAATCTTATTATTATTTACAGATTATATATTTCATTAATTTGAATATTGTAATATTTTCTTGTAATATTTTTCCAAAAGATCTATTTAACAATTAATTATATATTGTTAATATAATACACAAATTTCTATCTATCTTCTGTATGACATTACAGTTCAGCAATCAAGTTTTTATGGATATACATCAATGCTTCCTAGTCGATATACGCAAGCTGTGATGACTGGAGAAAGTGAGTATTGTTTTTATGAATGGTTGGCATTTGTCTTTAGTAAATTATTTAGCAGAATTTCAACTTAATTTAACTTTAAGGCTACGATCCACTTGATGCTACAAATTCAAAGCATTTTTTGATTGGTCAATTAGTAAATTTCTTTCTTCCGATTAGTCAATCGAAAGCTTTGTGGACCGCACCCTAAATGATATTAGGATTTGAAATTTGTTAGAAATTGTAAAAATGAGATTGTCTTGTTGATATTCGATATTATGAGTAACGAGTAATCGTATATCTTTTCTAATTATTACGAAACATATTATATAATACAAGAAAAAAGAAATATCTTGCTATATATTTTCAGGTTTTGCTGGTTTTTGGGTGTCAATCAATCGAATAATAACAAAGTCTCTACTCAATGATGAACGTGGCAACACATCCATGTTTTTTATTTTATCGAATATGACGATCTTGTTATGTTTTGTACTACATCAAGTAGTTCGAAAAACCGATTTTGTGCAATTTTACATAACGCTATGTCAGGAAAGAAATCGAATTACGTTAGAACCAACGGAGGATGTCGGTCTGGTACGTAATCATTGTATTCCTTATTTAAATTCCATTCGAAAATTGAGGAGTGATAATTATGATATCAATAAATATTTTGAGAAAGCAATATAATTTTTCTCGAAATACTTAAATTATTTGAAATTAATTATCGATGCATAATAACAATGAGTTAATGATTAATACTGTAATTTTTGTTGTTGTTAAATAGATGGATCCGTTAGATCAAGTCGGCGATCCCTCAAAAGGCCAGTATGGAGTATTGAAGATTCAAACGAGTCCATTGGGAACAGAATCTGCAAGTGGAAGTGCTGATTTAAATGGTAATCAAGAAATTAATTCTCAAGTATAAAAATAATAGAAACGAATACCGAATTTCTTTGAAAGATTATTCAGAAAGATTGTTTTGAAAAGAAGAATATTGCGATACTGTAGAAACATTTTGATTGTTACAGCAGCCGGACAATATTCTGCATTTTCGTTCAGCAATCCGGTGTATGAACCTAGTGCTCCTTCGGGTAATCCACCTGGTAGTGCTGGACCAACTTACAAGGTTGAAGATGTCGTAGTTATGAGAGGAGCTTACGGAACACAAAGCACCAGTACGCCATGGTCTGGCATAAAA